GGGCGGCCGTTGGCGTGTACATACGAGATGTCAGTTTGATCGCCTTCGACTGTACAGTGTGCGCATGCCTTCCGGTGGACGACCATACGTTGTCGGGGTTCAAGGTCGCCATCGCCGTAGCTTGTCGCCGTTCGCAGTGGTGGCGTCCATGTTTTTTCACGGAGGCGGGATATCGCCGTTCCGCATGGCGGTGTTTGCGGAGTTTTGGCGGTTGACGTGGGTTCCGGTGTCGTTGATGGAAGAGGCGTCCGGGATGGTTATTGACGGCGTTGTCAGGGGTCGTGCTTTAACGACATATGAGAGGATGACTATCACTGCGGCGGTGAATGTCGTCCTCTATTGTTGTCAAGTGGAGAGAACCGCGGGGAAGATCAAAGCAGCTGCTCGTGCGCGACGGAAGGTGACGGCACTGGCGAGCAGCGGTGAAGGCTTGGACCTGGGAGCACTTTCGGACGCCGTCCTCCAGGTGTGCTACGCGTTGGGGTGCGGCGCCTTTCCGAGGGCGACTCCAAGATGGTGGATGAAGCGGCAGACGGGAGGAACATGGGAGGACCTGCGCCAAAGCGACGACGCCACCGATGACTACTTCAGAGACAAGCTCCGAATGTCGCCACGTGTCTTCCGCGAAATCGCGGAAACGCTTTCTCCATACCTGCAACGACGTGTGACGTTTTATAGAGTGCCTTTGCAGCCGGATCACATCGTGGCGTACGCTCTCTATAGGTGGGCGTCGGGTGAGACCTACGACAGTGGAACGTGCAGCTTCGGCATCGGGAGGGCTTCTGGCATCACGGCGGTCCGGGACGTTACCGCTGCCTTGCTTGCTGCGTACCCGGACAAGATTTCGTGACCCACTGGCTTGCAGAAGGCGGTCGTGTTGCACGCGTTTGCAGACAAGGGATTTCCAAATTGCCACGGGTGCATCGACTGCACCCACATCTACGTGGACAAACCCGCCAATGCGAACGGGGAGGACTACTGTGATCGGAAGAGGTGATTCTCTATGCAGGCGCAGGTTGTCGTCGACATGAATTTGCATGTGCTGGACGTCCTCGACGGTTACCCTGGCAGCGTGCATGACATGAGGATGTTACATCTGTCCAGTTTGTGGGAGCGCGCAGAGTCTGGACAACTTTTCACTGGCCCGCATGTCATGCTGCCGTTCGGTGTCCGAACAAATGGATACTTGCTCGGCGACAACGGCTATCCCCAGTCGGAATGGATTGTCGTCCCGTATGGAGGTCTCGCGCAACATCCCACGGAGGCACGGTTCGACAACAAGCAAAAGACGGCGAGGGGAGCGGTAGAGAGGGCGTTTGGAAGATTGAAGGGCATGTGGAGGTTATTCCTGCGCACGCACAAGTGCAACATGGACACGTTGCCGCAACAGTTCATCGCGGTGTGCATCCTCCACAACATACTGATCAATGCAGGCATTCCCTTCGACGACAACCTGTTGTGGGAGGTGGGTCCGGATGGCGTCCGACGCAGGGTGGATCTGGGCATGCATGCGCCGCTGCATCCTGTTTGCATGGAGTCGTCGACCGGGGACGCGCTCATTTTGCGGGATGCGTTGGCGGAGAGGATGGGTGCGCAGTGAGGATGGGTGGTTGTGGGAGTGGAGAGTCGAAGACGGTCGTGATGCGGCGAGGTATCGGAGCACACTGAAGTGGGGAGGCACCGAAGAGATGATGCGCCAGGAACGATAGGGAGGTACGCCCTCTCGTATCCACTGAAGGTGCTCAGAGAACACGGCACTGAAGCCCTCCCAGTGTGCTGCCGCCCGTAAGTTTGTTTGGTCGTCGTCAAGCACAATGTGCTTTCTTCCCCGAGGTTGTTCGGAGCACTCATCCGGCAGGTTGTCGTCTTCCCGTTAGCGTGTAGCAATTGTGCCGTAGATGGTCGATCCTCACTGTCGTTTTTTGCACAATATTTCCATTCTGTCGTCATGTATGTAGCAGTGCTGTTTCAGCGGCACAAGTGGTTAACTGAACCTTAGTCGAAGTGAGTGTCTTTCGTTTTCGTGGTAATCGGCGGCGTGCAGAACTCATAGTTGTTGTTCCGCACAGTAGTGGTGAAGACTGAGTTTGGTGGTAGGTTTAATTACGGGAAGTCGTTGGTTGGGCAGTTGAGGGTTTAGCGGGGGGTGAGGGGGTCTACGAAGGACGGCGATTGAGCTGCCATCTACTTTTATTATGAACTGAACTCGTTGGAAACCTTGGAAGGCTTCCCCTTATTCTTGATGATCTTCTTTCGTTGAATGTTGTTGCGATGTGGAATGCAGTCTTCATTTTGCAATGTGTTTTCGCTCAGGATGTTCTTATAAGCTTGTGTCACGTATTTCCGCTCACGCCAGAGCGTGTGTGTCCGTGTGTGTGTGTGTGTGTGTGTGTGTGTGTGTGTGTGTGTGTGTGTGTGTGTGTGTGTGTGTGTGTGTGTGTGTGTGTGTGTGT